CTTGCTTGTTTAGTCAGCTGCTAGGCTGTCCAACAGTACAGTCGCTACAAAATTTAAACTGACACTATGGCTAAGCTATTGCTAATTTTAGCAACTTCTGACACAATATTGATTAAATTTTGTGAATTCTGCATGAATTTATTTGATACACAATTAATTAAGGCCAAATAGTAAATTTTAGTGAGCGGAAAGGAAATATTTGAACAAAGTGAGCAAAATGCAAGTGAATCAGAAGGATTTGTACGGATTCAAAATACCATTAGGATCAAAAATGGATTTTATACGACGAACTATATCGCGCTCCGCTGGCGATTTGCCAAGCTTAGCATAGGGTAGTTTCACTTGGCCGATACCGTGTTCAGCTGAGATAGATCCATTATGTGCGTTCACCCATTCATAGATGAAGGGATAAAGCCTGTAATAAATGCAAAAACGTCTGGGTAGGACAACTGTGGCGTGTATAAGGACTAACACGAATCCAAATGATTCTATTTTTACTTATAGTTCTGTTTGTTTGCCATGGAAGTCCAAATAATTCATGCTATTTTTACGTACATTCCTGTTTTGACAATAATTTTTTGCATATTCAGCTGTCAATTTATAGGTTGTAAATAGGTAATTATCTAAATATAGACAAATCAGTTGGAAACCACTCTTCACCTGAGATCTAAAGAAAACAACTCATCTTGCCAATCAGCCTTAATTTCGAACAATAAGATAAATTACCTAAAAACCTTACCTATCGTGAAGATTGTCACTGTATTCCTTAGCTGTAATGTTCAGATGACTGTTTCCATCGCCTAGATGACCGTAGGTCACGATTCGTTTTGTCATGGAAGAACACCGTGCTCTTATTTCCTAAATCAACGTTTTTTTCTCTCTTTTTCTGGCTTTGAAAATAGTAATTTTAGAAATATTCAATTAATATAGTACTCGTGAAACCTATGCTATCCGAATTTACCTCTGTAAGTTGGTAGAAATGCTTTAGAGGTAAGGAAATGTCGTTCTTGTAGACGAATCCATCAGCCGCCACAGCTAATGGTGCACTTTCACGTATCCGCCACATTGCTGACGACTCAGTAGCCGATTGAGCCTGAGGCATAGTACTTATAAATATTTCTGCAAAAAAAAATAACCAAAATCTTTTTATTTGTTTTTCAGTCAGTTTTGCTTTTCAGTAAGTATAAGCATTGCTTCAAAAATTTTTCCGCGATCAACGTCCATAGGCTAACTTATGCAAGCTATGGACTATATCCCAACGCGTTATTCTATGTCATAAATGATTTCCTCATCCAGTTTCAATAAAGAACAGCAAAATTCGACTTACACAGTTGTTCATTAGGAGGTGCGTCTCGAAGCGCTCACCCCAAATATGCTTGCCCTATCCGATGACCGACTTTTGAAGGATTTCAGAAAAAAAAGTTCCAGAAAATATGTTGGGCATATCATAATTATCGCCCATTAACAAAAAATTCCAACTAGAACAAGATAAAATTATTGCTGCTTGGGGTATTACTATTCAAGCATGATCTGCATCCTTAGTTTAAATGACACTATTTTTCGTGGGAAAAACTTTCATAACTTCGCAGAGAATTGCTCAGTATATGATAATGGCTGAATTGAGATCATCATTTTGGAACACAACAGAAAAGGTACGACTCGTTTTGAATTAGTCATGGGTCGCTTAGAATTCTTTATTTGCCTTCTCCTAGTCTAAAGGCAAAAGAAGTAAGCTTATGATAAACAATAACTGTTTTTCACTAAAAGAAGAGGCCTCCAGCAAATTATCATGAATTCCAAATCTAAAAATCTAAAAGTAGTTTGGCATACTTTCTTGACATATGTATGACCTCTAACATTGGTAATTCTAAATTTTTCTGCAGAATTTAAAATATGTTTACGTGAAACTTACTTGCACTCCATCGCTGGCTAATCCATTATCAATGCAATGAGTCAAAAACCGTTCCATCTTCG